GAGCAGGGAGCCCGATGCGGGGCTCGATCCCAGGACCCTGGGATCGTGACCTGAGCCGAAGGCAGATGCTTAACGACTGAGCCACCCAGGCGCCCCTTGGCTTAATTTTTCTAACAAAAATTTTGCTGACACAATGTAACCTCCTTTACTTCCCCTTTGACGGGTGCGACACTCTTATAAAGAGGGCCCTTTTTTACAGAGGGCTTCCCGAGATTCAGTGGATTTTCCAGAGGCCTCTCTTGAACCTTTGGTGTTCTTCCTCCTTCATCATGCCTGTCGTGTTATTTTATTTGTCCTTTCTTCTTCTGTTAACTGGTCTCACTTTAAAATTATGGGCAAGATGGACCCTAGTATTAAGTAGGAAGGGATAATTTGAGTTGGAAACTAATTTTATGAAAGTTGTTAGTGAGTTTTCATAATTCTGGTTCCTGCTTCCCTCTGAGGTGTTTAACTTTGGATCTTAGACAATGAATACTCTGATAGGGGCTAACCTCCATAGGCAAAATGAAGGGAGATTAGTTGGAAAAAAAGCTAATCTGAAGGCTCTTTGTTACTGCATTTGACTAAGGGCTAACGAAACATTTTAACTTACGTAGATACTTATGCCTCCATATGAGAACCAGGAATTAGGACATTTTTCATCTGTATCAGCTGCATAATACTAGTTTCATGACTTGAAACAATTCTCCTAACCTTCTTAGACCTGCCGTGGCTTATCTGTGGAACAAGAGCAATACTTGTCTCCGTAAGTTTTAAATTATGGAGTGTAAACAGAAGCATACAGTCCCACCCGTGCCATGCAAGCCTCCACAGGGTAGTACCAGCTTCAGTGCCAGGCCCCCAGTGTTCGTGAGCCAATAAAATGCCAACAAGAGAAGCAGCGTCTCTGCTCTGCTGTCCTGGCAGAGCTCCTTGGCATGCCGGCCAGGTGTTTTTCTCCCTCTTGGAACGCTGCCTTTCAAACTACGGGGGAAAACGGTACCTTCCTAACCATTCTTCCCACTGCACAAGCAGAGAAAGGGCACTTTCATATTTTGACAAAAAGGACCATTTGCTGGCCTTGGCTGGGCCATAAAGCCCTGAGTCACCTGGCTGGGGTTGGGACTGGGGCTGGGGTTTTATTGTATGACTTGCCTTGCAGATGTTGGATCCCCTGAGCAGTGCTGAAAATTCCTTGTCAGGAAGCTGCCAATCCTTGGACAGGTCAGCAGACAGGTATGGGACTGTGGCTGCTTTGGGGCCTAGTGTGTAGGCATGTTTGGGACTGATGGGCTGAGGAAACAGAATTAGCTAGTATGTCTCTGATCTAGACGGTGGTCTGCAGGCCCAAGGTTAAAACATCATGCTTCTGGGAAAGAAACCTCTTTCTGGGATTCTTATTAGCCCTCTCCTTAATTTTTCAAATACCATGAGAATTTTATGTTTGTATAATTAGGTGAATGTAATAGTAGCTCATAATAGCAAGTCACATGTGTTAAATGCTTGCTCTGTTATCCCAAGCACTTTACATGTTTTGAGTTTCCATATAATACACGCTGCTCTTGTGCTCTTGGCCTCACTGCTGTGATCTGGCCTGAGAAGTAGTGAACCCTCAGTGTTTTGGGGAAAAAATTGAATTATTACCTGTGGGTTTACTTTCTTTTTTTTTCTCCCAAGTGTTTCTGATGGAGTAAGAAACTGGGGTAGAAAAACCAGAAAACAAAATATCCAGATTGCCTAGCTTACCACACTGTCTGCTTCGTGTGTAATCTTGTTCTCACACTTTGGGAGGGAAGAAGGCTGTCTTTTACATACTGAATGGTTCTGTGCAGCTGGTTCTCCTGTCAGCAGGGGTATGTTTGGAGTTGGCTTACGGCTGTGGTCAGAGGCTATGGAGCAGGTTTGGGGATTTTTTTTTTTTCCCTTTGTGTAACTGATTAATTGTTCACATGGGTACTGGCCAAATTTGTACTACATCTTTCCTAACAGACCTGAAAACTGATGAGCACTGTCTTCCCTCTAGAAGTCATAGAATACAGTCATAGTTACTTGTTGGTGCCTAATTCATAGCATCGCTTGGGGCTTGCTCTTCAACCAGGGGAGCAAGAAGGCCCAGGTAAAAGTGCCAGGAGTTGCTGCCACAAACTGAAGGCTCTGCCAGGACAGGGACCGACTCTGGCTTTGGACCATCTCCTAAGCTTTGTGGCCAAGCAGGGGTGGGGAGTGGGGTGGGCAGTAGGACAAGACCACAGAAGATCTAGTAGTTGTGAAGTAGGGGGCAGCCCCCGTGTCATTGCCTTGACCGTTTCTGACCCATGGCCCTCTCAAAAGGCACTCTCACATGTAAGGTCGAGGACCATTCCGGTGAATTCTAGGAAAGATAGCTGAGCATACCCACTTGATCCTTAGGTTTTGCCTCGGTCCCTCCAATGCCTTGTTTTCATTTCCTTGGGAGTAAAACCCAGTGACCTGCATTTACTCCCTTGAGGCCCGGCCTAACTTGAGCATAGGGCTTTCCTCTCCTCCTTATGGGACTTGGAGCCACATAGACTCCAGCTCCATCAAATAGAAGTCAAGTAGCTTCCCTTAATCTCTCTGTTCCTCAGTTTCCCTATCTCTAAAATGGGATGGTGGTGCTTAGTCCGAAAGGAAGATGCTTGGTGTTGTTGCTGTTTTTATTACTGCCCTGGGCAAGGGATGTTTTGCAACTCTTCCCCTGTTACCAAGGTGGGAGGAAAGGGCAAGAAGGAAAAGTGATGTGCCAAACTCCAAGGTGGAGCTTGCGAGGGCTGGAGGGTTCATTCTTCCAGGTCCTGTCAGATTTGGGCCTCAGACTACTAAAGAGAAAGTAGGAGGCCGAACTCAGAAGAGGGCTGTTTCTCTCAAACTCTGCTTCCCTCCCAAACTGTGAGGAAAGATTACACACCAAGCAGGCATTGTGGTAAGCTAGGCAGTCTGGGTATTTTGGTTTCTGGTTTTTCTATCCTATATAATGATGCGGGAGGGAGTTAGAAAAGAGAATCCATCTGGATATCCTTGCCTTCTGCCGTGGTGTGCAGCTTTTCGAAGTAGGCTGATGTCTACATTGTGATTTCGTTTTGTTTTTTTCCAGCCCATCCTTCCGGAAATCGAGAATGTCCCGAGCCCAGAGCTTCCCAGACAACAGACAGGAGTTCTCGGGTAAGTTCCCCAGAGCCTGGAAGAGCACTGCAGGGTGCCCGGATGGGACTGCAGGCATTCTGCTTTTGCTAGCCGAGGTGGGAAGCCAGGACTGTATTTTAATTCTCCTCAGCCTGCTGCTCTGAGGTCTCGGGTGACATAGGGGCTTAAATAGCTCACTCACATTGACCTACCCCGAAACCAGTGATTCCTCTATCTCTATCTTACCCAGATCGGGAAACTCAGCTGTATGACAAAGGGGTCAAAGGTGGAACCTACCCCCGGCGCTACCACGTGTCTGTGCACCACAAGGACTACAATGAGGGTGAGTGCACCTCTACCCTGCCCCCTGCTGGCTGCCTCAGAATGGACATGGGTAGAGCTTTGCCACCCAAAAGCCACTGCCAGGGGGTGAGCCCAGGCCCGCCAGACCGCATGTTTTCTTTATTCCTGAAGAGCTGTGCCCAGACTGGAGGCACTAGAGACCGAGGGGAGATGGGCAGAAGGACGGTGTCTGGAAACCAAGATGCTGCCACTGGGAAGGGAACACTGTCCTTGGTCTGAGTCCCTAGCGTGCCCCATGGTGCCAGCTCTTCAGCGCCCTCTTCTGCCCCATGGCAGCAGACAGAAGGGAGCTTCCACAAAGGTTTAGGATTAGGATGCCAGGGAAGACAGACTTCAGCAGTGGATTGGCCTTGTGAGTGATGTGGTGCACGAGGGTTAGCCCTATGCCTTCCCTGTGGCCAGGGCTTCCTGAACAATCCGTGGCTGCTTTACAAATTCCTGCTTTTGTCCTGATTCTAGGGTGCTTGGGACATTAGCCATTCTGGCATGGATTAGGTAAAAGGGCAGATGGGATGATGTGGTTTGCACATTTAGCCTCGTGGTCAGGGGGCTGACTTGCTCTATTCTGTCTCCTGCATCCCTTCAGGCAGAAGAACGTTTCCACGAATACGGCGTCATCAAGGCAACCTCTTTACCCTGGTGCCGTCTAGCCGCTCCCTGAGCACAAATGGCGAGAACATGGGTCTGGCAGTACAATACCTCGACCCGAGAGGGCGCCTGCGGAGTGCGGACAGCGAGAATGCCCTCTCTGTGCAGGAGAGGAATGTGCCGACCAAGTGTGAGGAGTGGGCCCTGGCCAGGAGACTGCCCAAGGGGTGCTCAGACAGTCAGCAGGGCAGGAGGCCAGAGGTCCCCTGGGGCTGTTCAGCTCAGCGGTAGGCTGCTCTGGCCCATCCTCACTACACTGGAAGAAGCTGTGGGTCGGCAGCAGATCCCCTGGACCTCAGGCCTCGCTCCACTGTTGTGTAGCAAGCCACTTCCCCTCTCTGGCCTTTAGTCTCTCTGTGTTTAAACAGAAGAGCAATCTCCTCAGTCCTTGCCATATTCAGATGTTTGGGGACTTAGGAAGTAAAGGTATTTGATCAATTCAGAGGAGTGTTTAACCATGACGGTAGCCAGTCATCTGCCTCTCAGGACTTGGACCTAACGGTCCCACTGATCAGGGCACTGAGCCTGCTCCAGAAGGGGGTGGAGATGCTGGGCTGAGAGATAGGACTGTGCTGGGTGAGGGGTTCTTGAGCCAGAGGTCCCATCACAGAGCCTCTGGAGACCAAGGCAAGATTTCAGTAAATAATGTGCCCAAGCTAATGCTCTTTCCTTCTGTTCTCCTGTAGCTCCTAGTGCCCCCATCAATTGGCGCCGTGGGAAGCTTCTGGGCCAGGGTGCCTTCGGCAGGGTCTATCTGTGCTATGACGTGGACACAGGACGTGAACTTGCTTCCAAGCAAGTCCAATTTGACCCAGACAGCCCTGAGACAAGCAAGGTACTGCCTTCCCCATGGTCTGGCCTCCAGTGTCCCCCTTAGCAGAAATTCCTGTCTTACTGCATAGATAAACTGCTCAAGAAGCTACAGATTGCTCCCCCCATCATTCTTCCTCCCATGCTCCCTTGCTTTCCACCCTGGCCATGGCCATGGGGTAAAGGGACTGTGGTCCAAAGAGCATCAGACCCCCTGGGGGAGGGATTGGGTATGAGGAACTGAGTTGATGCCAAAGTACCAAACCACCCGAACTGAGAGGCCAGCGCCACAAAGAACAGTACCTGCCCACTCTCACCAAACAGTTGCCTCTCAGCCCTTGGTCCAGGAAGGAGCTTATCTTTGGAATTCAACTTTGGGTGTGGCCTACACTCCAATCTGAGCTGACAAATGCAGCAGTTACCTTAACTAAGCATCTACACCCCTTCTCCCACCCCACTGTCTGCCTTCTTCCAGCATGGGAGTGCCACTGTCCCATGGGTCACCCAGCATTGTGTCCAAGGGCCAGACAGTTAAGAGAGCCCCCCTTTGCTCCAGTTCCCTAGGCAGACAGACCCCCCCCTGAGGTCACTTATTAGGGCAAACTGAGCTGATCCCAGGTGGGCAGAAGTGGGGCCCTGCAAGCCAAGGTGACCACTGGGCCCCTCCCCTAGGAGGTGAGTGCCCTGGAGTGTGAGATCCAGTTGTTGAAGAATTTGCAGCATGAGCGCATAGTGCAGTACTACGGCTGTCTGCGGGACCGTGCAGAGAAGACTCTGACCATCTTCATGGAGTACATGCCGGGGGTACGTGCTCCCCAGAGGGCCAGACCTGGGCTGTGGGCTCTGGAGGAGGTGTCCCTTGGACATGCTTCTGATCACTTGAGATGCCAGAGGTGATGCTCAAAGTCAGGAGGGCCCTGCATCTGGCCGTGGTGATGGTGTGGGACGTGAAGCATCCCAGGCCACCCTGACCCGAGGCTTACAGGGTGGTTGCACTGTCCAGTAAGGACCGCCTATACCTGGAGCAGAGGGGCCTCCCTTCTGGATTTAGATCATACGTTGCTTAAGGAAACTGTTCTCCAAGCTGCCCGGTAGCCCCCAGCAAAGCCAGGGGCACCGCTCACCGGGGTTGGCTGAATCACTCCTTTGTTGCCATGCTGGGGGCTGGAAATAACCTTGCCCCCCTCCCTCCCCTTCCCTGAGCTGACTCCCTCTGACTCCTGTGGCTGTAGGGCTCAGTGAAAGACCAGTTGAAGGCTTATGGAGCTCTGACAGAGAGCGTGACCCGCAAATACACCCGGCAGATCCTGGAGGGCATGTCCTACCTGCACAGCAACATGATCGTTCACCGAGACATCAAGGGTGAGCAGGCACAGGCTGTGGGGTCCCCAAGACCTGGTCACTTAACCATTCTGAATTTTCTGGAAAGTGAGACCCTAATTGCTTCCTTGGGGGATTGGTGTAGATTGGTTGAGCAATTTGGGAAACTACCTGTACGGTGCTGTGCAGCTAGATGTTGGCCATGGTGATGCTCATTTCATGCTGTAGGGCGGAGCCAGTAGCACTCTGTGCACGTCATGTCTCATTCGTGGTAGTCTCCGTCCTCCCCAGCAGCCCCGTGACCTGGGAGGGAGGGGAAGAGGGTGGATGGTAGAAAATGCCCCGAGGGCCCAGGGTGGCAGCCTCTGCCCTTTCATGCCTTAGGAGCCAACATCCTCCGAGACTCTGCCGGGAATGTGAAGCTGGGGGACTTTGGGGCCAGCAAGCGCCTGCAGACCATCTGCATGTCCGGCACAGGCATGCGCTCGGTCACTGGCACGCCCTACTGGATGAGTCCTGAGGTGATCAGCGGCGAGGGCTACGGGAGGAAGGCAGATGTGTGGTGAGTGCTGGGGACGTGCTGGGATGGCATCTCCATGTCTGGGCTGTCGTGACTCTAACTTAGAAATGAGCTGTGGGGGCTTTGCGGTGTGGTCGGAGGAAGAGGAGACTCAGCTCTTGGCAGCCAGGCCAGGAGCCAGGCCGGGACGTCGGTACCCGCCCCAGCACATACGCAGGTGCATTGCGTTTTAACCCCAACAGCACCTATCTGCTGTTGATGAGAACTCGGGGCATGGAAAACATCCCTAGTGTTTGCTAACTTCCTGACAGAAGTAGCACCAGTCTGAAGGCCTGGGTCAGTCTCTAAATCGTAGCAGGCTTGGGGCGCCTGGGTGGCTCAGTTGGTTAAGCGACTGCCTTTGGCTCAGGTCATGATCCTGGAGTCCCAGGATCGAGTCCCGCATCGGGCTCCCTGCTCGGCAGGGAGTCTGCTTCTCCCTCTGATCCTCCCCCCTCTCATGTACTCGCTCGCTCTCTCATTCTCTCTCTCTCAAATAAATAAATAAAATCTTAAAAAAAAAAAAAATCATAGCAGGCTTCTTCCTCTCCTAGTGTTCAGATGGCTTGCGTTTGCTCTACCTCCCTTCTTGTGCATCCTCTGATGCACCCCTCTGAAAGGGCCTGGAAGTTGTGAGAGCATCTCTTCCCCTCAGAACGGTATTGTGGTGGGCGAGTAATGGTTCCCCAAAGATGCCCACATACTAACCCCATGCCCTGTTAATGTTTCCTTACGTGGCAGCAGGGCCTTTGCAGATATGCTTAATTTAAGGATTTTGAGATGGGGAGCTTATCCTGGATCATCCAGGTGGGCTCAGTATAATTGCAAGGGTCCTTACAAAAGGCAGATACAGCAGGTGAGAGTGGGTAGCAAGAGATGGGACAGTAGAAGCAAGAGACTGGAGTGGTGTAAGGAGGGGCCGTGAACCAAGGAGTGCTGGCAGCCTCTAGAAGCGGAGCCTCCAGAAGGAACCATCCCTGCTGACCCATTGACTTTAGCCCATTGAGACTAGTTCTAGACTTCTGACCTCCAGAATAAATTTTTGTTAGTCTTATGCTCATGGTAATTTGTTACAGTGGCAATAGGAAACTAACACAGTTATCTCCGAGTTCTTTCTGTCCATGCTAAGGGATCTCTTCCCCAATCTTAAGACTCACCCTAGTGGGTGTAGGTTGATGAAGCCCTCGCAAATGAGGCCTTGGGGACCCTCTACAGAGGTGTCAACCCTCAGCTTGCCCCGTCCTGCCTCAGGGTATTCTGAGAAAAGCACCTCCTTTCATGATGGTGGGCAGGTCAGGGAGCCTGGGGTGACATGGGATTCTGTCTCTCCAGGAGCCTGGGCTGTACCGTGGTAGAGATGCTGACAGAGAAACCACCTTGGGCAGAGTATGAAGCCATGGCTGCCATTTTCAAGATTGCCACCCAGCCCACCAATCCTCAGCTGCCCTCCCACATCTCTGAGCACGGCCGGGACTTCCTGAGGCGCATTTTTGTGGAGGCCCGCCAGAGACCTTCGGCCGAGGAGCTGCTCACACACCACTTTGCACAGCTCGCGTACTGAGCTCCCTAGGCTCACTGCCGCCAGCCTCCCCTGCTGCACGGGCAAGGGGCTGCCGTGCGGCTCCGCAAAGTTGCTGCTTCTCCTGGGCAACGCTGTGGACCATGGAGCTGCAGTCCAGCCAGCGTTCGTCTGTGCCCCGTCCACCACGGGGGCTCAGAGCCAGGGCGGGGTGGCTGCAGCCTCAAGAGGACTGGGAGCCCCCAGCCTGCCAGACCCGAGAGCTCCAGCATCCTAAGCTCCTCGTGGAGGGGAAGGGGCTAGGAACAGTATGCAAAGCGCTGAGGGCCTTACCCTCAGGGCTGTGTCCTGACACTGCAGTCAGCGCCAAAGCCCCACGGGTGTGGGGGCACAGGACTGACACGAGGGTCTGCTTAGTGTTACTTTCATTCAGAGTGTTATTTTGTTTCTCCTCCCATGTCTGGAGACCACCAGGGCATCTCTGGGCTGGATGAGCCCCCCCAAGCCTGAGGTAAAGCCCAGCATCCCACAGCCAATGGAAGGCAGAGGCTGGGGCTGCGCTCTCCCCGGATCCCCTAGGTCAGCTTTGCCAGTCCCTGTCCTTTACCAAAGATGAATGAAGCAAATGTTATGCTGCCTTATTCAGGGAAGGAGGAACCCATCCTGCCTGCCCCCATGACCCTGCACCCCCCACCCCCAGCAGGGGCCTGAGATGTGGAACTTCCCCCACTTGGGGCAGGGGAGACCCAGTTTTGTCAATGCAATTGTCTCTGTTTTACAAGTTGGAGTCACTCTTATGCTGTACCCAGTGTCTAAACTGGAGACTGTGTGCCCTTGGGCTCTGAGTATCCCTGTTGTGGGCTTGGGCCTTGGGCTGGATTGGAAAGAGCTGAAGGTAATGGCCTTTGTGTTCCTGACCTGGCACCTTTTCCCCCACTGGAGCAGAAAGGAAGATGGACATCGTGGTGAGGGCATCTGATCCAGCTGGCTGCCAGACGCCTGGGCAGGCTCTTCTGGACAGCCAGGGAAGTTGGATCAGGCTGTCTGTGAGTCGTGACCCTGCTAGGCCAGAGCCCTCTCCATCTGGTAGAAGGGAGAGCCCATGTGATGTCACCAACTGTGTCCCAAACTACCATCTCTGTTCCTTCTTGGCCAGCCTTGCCCATCCCCATGAGGTCTCAGCCTCTTTCCCTTCTTTGAGGAGGAATGGTAGCAGGGGTCGCGGAGCCAGCGTCTCCAAGCAGCTTAGTTAGAGTTGGCCTTATTTACCTCAGCCTGGGCGCTGGTCCTTTCTTCCGGCCCCTCCCCTCCAAAATGTGCCTATTGCTAGAGCTCCTCCCGCCCAACACCCAGTTTCCTTGGGAGTTGTCATTAAAGGAACAACAACAACAACAACAACAACAAAGCCAGTGCCCAGGGATGGGCCTCTCCGGGGAGCTGGGGATCAGCGCCAGGCAGCTGCTCATTGCCAGCCATGCCCACTTCCCCACGGGCACCAGAACAAGCCAAAGCCTTCGTTGTATGTTGACGATGCACTTTTATGAATGTAGTTTCTATCGCTGTTTTTAGCCTTTTCACATCATGTAATGTGAGGCCTTGTACTTGTTAATTTATATCTCAGATCATATTTGATGGTTTTTATATATATCAATTCTAGATTGTTACAGGTGATGGACGCCTCAAGAGAGAGAAGAGAAAATGAAAGCAGCTGGTTTTGCAGGAATGTGTGTTGCACGGTGCCAGTTGGGCCTGGGCCCCTCTGTTTCCATCCTTTCCCCCCAGGGGCCTCTGTCAGGCACCCCCAGCTCAGCCCTCTGAAGACAGTGAGCACGAGCTCCTGTCTCCACCTTGTCCCTAGCCCAGGGTGGGGACTGGCCCCTCAACTTGACCAAAGCCGCCACGTGGCAGCTCGGCCTCTCCACACCCCCATCCTGATGGCTGTAGTACTCTTTGTGGGCCCACACCCCCGTCCCCAGTCCCTGTTCCCCAAGAGGAAACAGAGCACGGTGCCAGTGCCAAGACGACTCTGTGTGTCCCAGCTTCAGGCTCTCACAGAGCCCCACCTCCTGGGGTCTTACCTCACAGGGAATGGGTTCTAAAAGTGAATTTGCAAACAGGCCAACAAACGCTGCACTCCAAAAAAATAAAAGACCCTGTTTTTTGTTTTGTTTTGTTTTTTTGTTTTTTGTTTTTTTTTTGTGCCAAAAACTGTGGACATGCTGGCTCAGCATCCTCAGGACCAAGCTGTTGCTTAATTTTAATTTATTGTCTTTATATTAAATAACCCAGATGACAAGTTGTGGGCCTAGGACAGCCTGGGCCCGAAGATTCTGAAAGCAGTCCCCTGGAAGCCCCAGGCTTGCTGTGGGAAGGGCCATGCTGCCATTTGCTCATCATTCCGTGGGCTATGTCGGCCTTGGCCAAACCTACATGGAGAGGCCAGGACTGGGGACAGTCCACACTCCATCGCCCTCCTGCCCCTCCTTTCCACCTCAGCTCTGTGTCTGTGTCTGAATTGTGGATCGTGCAGAAGAACCTGCAGCCATAGTTATTTGACTATATCTCGACCGAGGGCTTGCAGTGCAAAGCCAGGCCAGTGTCGCGCATTACTTACAATAAAAGGGATCATTTATACCCAAGGGGTCCTGTGGCAATGCTTTTGGTTGGGGAGTGGAGAGAGCAGGTGTTTGCTCGGGAGGAGCCAGGTATGGTGCCTGGTAACCAGCTTGGGTCCCTCAGCAGAGAACTTGAAATGACTCCAAGAGGGGTTCTAGGATGGGCTGACTTGGTTGTTACCACTGCAGGCTCAGAGCTGGCTCCCCTTCCTCCCCACTTCCGGGAGCTCTGCTGAGGGTGCTTCTGTCAGGGCTGATTATCAAGGTGGTACTGTCAGCCCCCGTGACCCAAGTGTCACCAGTGGCTGGGGTCCCAGAACTTCATGGCATCTAGTAGTCTTCCAGGTGCAGGCAAGTATCCCCTTGAGCCATATTCTGCTGTTATCTCCCTGCTGGTCTGTCTGCTGGTGGTGCTTAGCTCAGAGCCTGGAGAGACCATCCTTGTCCCCATCTGAGGCCTCCAGTGCAGAATTTGGGCCTGCTTTGAATGAGGCTCTCGGCTCTCCTCGTGCTGATGACCCAGTGCCATCTCTGCTGAGTGTTAGCTCTGCTGCTTCAGGGGGCAGTGTCTACCTCAACACAGCACAGTGGCCCATCTGCCACCAGAGTTTGAGCACCTGCTCCCTACCCTGTCCTGTGGGCATGGCGTCACTTAGGAACTTAAGGTATTGTATGGGGTGCAGTGGTAGCAAACCCCCAGGAGTTGGCCCTCTTGCTCCACCAGGTCATACAGTCCACGGGCAGTTTGGGGGAGATCAGGACAGTTGGGTCTGGGACAGACATCCCAGACTTCCTGCCAGTAATCTGCTGGGCATGGGGAGGTATCTCAGGTCACCCAAGGTGGCCATGTTTGCCCTGCTGCAAACTCGTCCCTCAGAGGAGCAGATAAGCTGTTTCTCCTTGGAATACCTGGGATGGTGACCATGGCTGCCCCAGTCCCCAGAGCTTGAAAAAGCAAGGGGAAGATGACAGATGGGGAAGGACATGGCGAACTAGAGAACCTTCAACAGCACTTGCTGAATCTGCTGGTTTCCACCACCCTTTGCTGATTTCCAGGGCAAAGGGGGTCCAGACAAGGACTCGGCAGAAGGGTTCTGCTTTGCAGTATACCGAAGTGCAGTGAGGCCAGGCTCAATCACCTACTGATGGCCTGACCCTCTCTCTCTCTCTTTTTTTTTTTTTCTAAAGTAGGTTCCACACTCAATGTGGGGTTTGAACTCACAACCCTGAGATCAAGAGTTGCATCCTCTACTGACTGAGCCAGCCATCCTGACCCTTTCTTAACCGACACAAGGCTGAGAAGCAAAGCGGAGTTTCAGTTCTAAAACCACTCTGGGTATGACAGCATGGAGGCCTGGCTGTTGAAAAAGGAGCATCCCCTCTTTTTCTCAGGCTGGTGTCATTTCCCTGGCACCTATCACCAGCCCCATCCCCCACCCCAATCAAGGCCAGGAGTGCTCTGGGTTGACCATGTCCCCTGTCACCTCTGCATGAGAAGTCTGCATCCTTCCTGCCACAAAGAACACCCCGCCCCAGCCCCATCAGGCCACATAATACAGAGTCAGAATCTGTTAAAACATGTTTAAAACAGGGTTGATCACAACAGTCAGAACCGGCAGCAACAAGGGAGAAGAGGAGAGGAGCGTGGCCCACACCAGCCCCCAGCCAGTCTCTGTGGCTCTCAGCCTGGCGGGTGCTTGAGCTTCCGCTTCTTGACTCCGGTGGTGCAAGATGGGTCCCAAGCCCCACTGGGCATGCCCTGCCTCGCCTTTCAGGGGAGGACAGGGCTAATCCACTCCCCCCGCCCAGGGCCTTGGTGGGCATTCTGTGAGGCCCAACGAGGGCACGCTGGCTCTCCTTCCTCTGGGCTCCATGGCTCAGGACCAGGCTAAGGGCAGAGGTAGATGGAGAGAAAAGGGGTCCCCAGAGGGCCCCAGGTGGCAGTGAGGGAGCTTGGGACCCTGAGGGGGCATGGTGACTCCTTGCTGGAGAAAAGGCACCTAGATAGGGAAGCTGGGCTTGGGGGCCTCCCAGGGGGCCAGGGGGTGAGGTGGGGTAGGCTGAAAGAAGTAGGAAGCAGGGTGGTGAGCAAACCCCAATCCTGGTTCCCAAACCACCACCCCCCCCCAGGGAGAATGAAGGAATCCTGGAGCAGAGCCCTGCCCCCCTAATCCTCTGCCTGAGCAAGATGGCCTTATCCCTGTCCCACCCTGCCCCCCAACCCAAGCCCAGGTCCAATCTCTTTCCCACCCTTCCCACTGCCCCTCTCCAGGCCGCCTTCTACAGAGACAGTGGACGGCAGAGGGGCCTCAGGCGGTCTTCGTGCCGGAGTCCACCTCCTTGTGGGCCCAGAGCTCCTTATGCTGCTTCCGGCCGAAGCCCTCATCGTAGTTGCCTTTGCTCTTAAACAGCTGCTGAAAGTGGGGTTTGCAGTAAAATTCCCCGTGCAGTGCCGCGTAGCTGCCCAGGCTGCAGAAGCAGAACAACTGTGGTCAGGTCAGGTCAGGGCTAGCAGGTGAGGGCAGGGGCAGGGCAAAGGCGCACCTCAGCTTGGTGTGACAGTGCTTGCAACAGAAGCAAGAGTTGTGGAAAATGAGCTTGTCGGCCACCAGCCGCTCCATGGGGTACACGGTCTTCTGGCAGGCGGCACAGCTCTCCTTCACCTGGGCCCGAAGGCTGAAGGACTGTGCCGGGGAGAGAGTCAGCCAGGGGCCTGGCCCATGCCCGTCCCTTCTCCCCCCAACACTCCACTCTCGGGGCCCTACCTTGGAGCGCTGGACAGTGCTGCTGCCACCGCTGCCCTTGGCTTCCTAAGGGAGAGGGCCAGTCAGGGCCGGGTCAGAGGGATGCCCCCAGACCATTGCTGCGGTCACCAGCCCAGATCCCAGGGGCGGGGGCGGGGCAAAGGGTGGCAAATCTGCCGCCCCTCACCCCTTCACCCCCAGGCCCGATGCCTGCGGGAGAGGAGCCCTCCCGCCCCGCTGATCACCTACATGAGAGGGGGTGGCCTGGGCGGCTCCTGCAGCCTGGAACATGGCTCGGTGGGGATGATGGAGGCCCCAGGTGGAGACGCGGCACCCGCTGGGTTCTGCAAGGGGAAGTCGGTCGGTCGGGCCCCACAAGCGCTTCCCCAGCCTGCAGGGTGGGGTGGGAGTGTTTACAGGCAGGGGGCTAGGGGGCTGCGGTTGGGACTTTCCCTAAGTCATTTCCTGTTGCTCCGGGTCTTGCCACTTCCGCCCCTCCCCCTTCGCCCGCCCGCCCCCCTCGCTGCTCCCCAAGGGACAGGGGTCCCTGAGTGGAACCATGTGTCGGGGAAAGGACAGAGTTAGCCGGGAGCGGCCGGGGGAGGGGGCGCCGCGCAGCCGCCGTGAGCGCCCCGCGGCCCGGGACCCCGCCTGGATG